TCTGTTCAGACGACTGCTTCAATGAGGAGCTTAAGATTATTAGAGAATTGCTTAGAAAAAATGGTTATCCAGATAAGTTTATTGAGAAAAATATGAATTCATCACCTAGGACAGTCACTATGGCGACAGTTCCGAAAAATCACTGTTCATAAAACTGCAGTTCCTCGGAGACAACATCAGTGAAATAATAACACAACGACTGAAGAATGCAGTTAAAAGAGCTTATTATGCAGCAGAGGTACGTTGTCTCTTCAAAACCACCCCTATTCTACTTTCGAGAAATAAGGACAAACTACCTAAATTTGCCTCCTCTATGTGTATCTACCAGTTTGGCTGCAGCTGCGGAGTCAGCTACATTGGGTGTACAATTAGGCAGGTTCATAATCGTATTTCCGAACATCATCCAGCATGGTTAGGCAAGAGATAAACAAGATCTATTCTTAGATTATTTTAGCACACCTTGTTGATAATGAGCATAAGGTTGATGTTAATACAGCATTTAAAATTATTTATCGCATTCCTACTAATCTTAATTTTGCTCTACGATTTCGTCTTCTACATACAGCTGAAGCAATAGGAATCCACCTGAAGAAGCCAAACTTGTGTGTTCAGAAGAAATTTGTACAGCCACTCTTCTTACCCTGGCCATCGTTACATGATTGTGTAAAGTGGACTACTTCGCCCCTCTCCCCCTAAACTTTTAAAAATCATAATTGTCCAAATTATTTATGTTTTTCTGACTACTTCATCTTTAATTACATGTTATCCTTGTAAAATTATTTTGTTCTTGTGACCACTTCAACCTTAGTTACAAATTATCATTGTCCAATTCGCGTCGGTGGCATAGCGGTTAGCACGCTCGCCGACCATGCACATGGTCCGGGGATCGATTCCCGGCCGGCGCACTCCTTTACCTCGCTAAGCCAGAAATAATGCTGGTAAAGAGGAAAGGTTGGGCATGAGGCTAGCAACCTCATCCTGTAAAATAAACTCTGCTACAGAAACTTCAAGCCACTAGCTTGAAGCCCAATGTTCCACAGGGGAACGTGAAGGAAAAATTATATAAAATTATATATTGTCCAATTCGTTTCATTTTTCTTAATTGTTTCTTAATTGCTCTTGGTTTTTCCAAAATTATGCATTATGCAATCCACTTCTTTTAACCATTTCCACCTTTTAAATGTGTATTGATTTTCTTCGTTAATTATCAACCCATTGACATTTTGATACTGACTAATTATTGTTAGCAAACATATCAGTGCCACTTGATTGGTACACTGTTGTGTATTGTAATAAAATTGCTATACATAGTGAATTAGAGTAGAACCAGAGATGAGGATCTAATTGAAAAATAAATATTTCTTCGCCCAATCTTTCTGTTTTCTAGAGACGAATCAGTTCAAATCACATCCGAATTATGGCTGTCTGACTAGCTACTTCATCCGACTGAATCAAATTCGCTATTTGCAATTTTTTACAAAATTATCATTCATACCTGCTTGATATGCTTTAAATTGCAATCACAAACGTAAGCACTGATATATATATATATATATATATATATATATATATTATATATATATATATATATATATATATATATCAACGCTATGTACCACTAATGAAATTTCACGTCGAACTGTGTAATTTGCAAATTGCGGATTTAATTATGTGCCATTTTTTCACCAGTAACAACAAATGGTTCTTCATGGTATTAATAAATTCGTGCACTTACTCTTGTTCTTTCTGTCTGCATGCTAATGTTTGTCTGTGCGTGTGTGTACGTGGGTGATGTTATGTAATTCCCTTTTTATTATAGATAGACTAATTGGAACACATGAAAAAAGTCAGTTTCAATACTACACACCTCCATTGTATCTGTGTGTATGCGTGCTTACATGTATCATAAGATTCTAGAATTCTATAAATAGATTCAAGGTTGAGTTGTATATTTTATAATAATAAAATTAATTCACCTGAACATCCCCACTGATAGATCATTATTGGACAGAAATGTTCAGTCGCTGTTTGCATTTTCCGCTTTTATTAGTGAGGCTTCAGCGATGTCTGAAGATTAACATGATTTTGGTTACAGTATTTCATCATGAGCCGAGATCAGTTAGAAAACGCACCCACCGGGTTTCGAAATCAGGACCTTTTGGTTACAAGGCGAGCTCGTAGACACAGAGGATCCTGGGTTCGAACCCTGATGAAGAGTTCCAAACCAGGACGAAACAGCTGTCCAGCACTCCCAGGTTTTCCAAAAGTTCTCTAACTGACGTCATCTCATGATGAAACCCTGTAACCAGTCAACCGAATCCCTACGAAATCAGTACTTTAATAACATGATTTTATCGAGCAGTTGGTGGTGACCATTGACAGTGGTATCCACGAGACCCAACATTTCGATCAGATAACGGAAAATTCATATTAATTTAAATAAATTACGGTTGGTGACCGTCATACAATGAGGCGGTCCGTATGGTCCACTGGCTTAGTCGATTTGCGCTTTCGTATTTGGAATGATGGAAGCTGAGTGCAAGCCTCGAATGGCAACGGCATCATTCACTAGGAGTGAAGGTACATTTATCTGACGACATGTGCACCCTGAATTCCACTGTTATTTACCATCAAACAAATAATAGCAAGTTTGATTACCACTTCTAAAATGAACAAGTGGCAAGTGAAGTCGCCGACAAAAATCTGTTTATGTTGCTTCAGATATGAACACTTTACAAAGAGTACTGCTAAAAAAATGCACTTCTGAGTATTATTTCATTTAGACGATCAAACTGAAATATTGCGTGTCGTCGTAGAACAGAGCGCAGAATGGTGTCCAACCATTTACTTCACTTTTATCGAATTTACAGGAGAATTCGGCAGTGTGATTTGGAAACTGTCTCATTACAACGGCGTACTCCAAACCTTTGTTAGATTCACTTAATGGTTACATGATAATGTCAGATACCAAAAGATTCACTTCAGAAAACTCCGTGAGGCTTTTGAAATAAATCAGGTGTATAGATTTTGGGGAGAGGAATATAATTGTAAGATTAATAGACGAATGTAAAATGTTACGTAACTTGGTGTGAAATTTGATAACATAGAATTTAATATTGTAAAAATAAAGATAAAAAGTATACACATGAATAATTTTTGGTTTAAAATGTCAAGTAAGTCAAGTGGAAAAGATTCAGAATGAGAGTCGTAATAATAATAATGATAATAATAATAATAAAATAATCGAAGCAATAAGGGAAAAGTACATAGAATAATTAAATAAATAAAATAAATAAATGTCTATCCCTCTACGGCCAAGGCAGCAGTAAGGATAAAAGACAGAAGACTGCTTACTATCACTGATGATATTCCTGACTGTGGTGGACTGGATCATGCGGTAAACCTTGGGAAGTGAGAAGGGAGGTGTACGTCTGACTGAAAGACACCAGAAGAAATTGAATTTGTGAATGATTAATTCCATTATGGATAAAATTTATTTTGATAGAGTCTCACAGTGTTTGTTGTACAGTAATATTTACTGATGAAAACGTTTCGAGCATAATTTATTACTTCTCATGATCATATCAAGGCCCTGATCACACAACTTTCTAACTTCGTTTAGATAAGTCCATTATTTTTCATTGCTTGATTTGATTCGTAGTAGTATTTTCCATATTTCGGGCATGAGTGATGAGTGATTCCTATTGCACATGTTGGGTGTAGACTCGATGAACAACGATTTAGTAATCTACCTGTCTCTATCTTCACCTACCTATATTAATTTTTACAATCTTAACCCTCTCCCACCCCATCGTGTAGTTGTGTGTTAATGCATACAGTAACATTGCTGAGCTTTTTCATCAATTACATATCTTCCCGGGTTCAACCATTCTCACCTTAGCTAAATTCTTATGTTCCTACCTCCTAGTTTGACTGACCTATATAGTTGACCTTACTCACAGTCATTGCAGGGTATCTTTTAAATTACATTATTTTGTCTCATTGGGTCAACATGGTCATTTTGTAAGAGAAACAAAACTAATAGTGTAACAATAATCAATGTTTTATTTTCTCTACTTGCAGGAAGATACCAGGGAGTCAACTGCTTGGATGAGGAATTGCAGAACCTGAACATTAATGAAGCTCAGTAAAACTGTAATCCCCAAAAAAAACTGTACCCCGCTGAATAAACTCTTTCCTGTGCAGTTGGTGTTCTGCTTTCATTACGGTGTGCCTGCTGGTTGCCTGTTACAAATTGGTGTCGGAGGTGGTCCTTCTGCTATTAACATGAAAAATTCATTCGATTACGATCTTCCCAAGCTATTTCCAGAAGAAAGTGGTATCACCACGCCGATGGTGCCCAAGCTACCTCGTCCTCCAATGTTGCAATTGTCATCTGACTACCCCAGATGGAAAAAACGCGTTCAAGCATTCCTCAGTATTTCTTCACCAGCGCACCACTTCCTTCATATCCTCAATGCCCTATCAGAAGATGCATTCGCACGCGCCGATGCTGCCGGATTCAGCAGCACAAAGTCCATGGACGAAAATCGGAAAATTTTGGATAATTGTTTTGATCTTCAATTGGGCTACGAACACGCCCTTCTAAAGTTCTTAAATCGTATATATATATATATATATATATATATATATATATATATATCGATTAAAACCAAAAGTTTTTTTTACCCAATGCAGATATATATATTTTTTAGAAACATTTTTGTCCATAAACCAAAAAAACATACAAGATGCATGTGTACGCATACAGAAAGGCACAGAGATAAAGAAAGGAGAAAAGAAGCTTGGAATGGAGACTTCACTTTTCCGTTGGAAAGAATTAGCCAAGGGGAGCAAAAGGACACTTTTGAACAACTTTAAACAAAAGTGAAAGGTTGTAGAAAAGAGACATGAGATGAGTAAAAAAAGGAGAAAAGAGAAGAGGAGAAAAAAGAGAAAACATAATAAAAACGAAAGAAAGGAATATAGTAGACCCACACACCATATACACACAGAAGGTTATATTGAATTCAATTGTAAAAAATAAGCATATAATGTAATGTCATCAGTTTATAGGCACCAGAAAAATAGACATGCGTCTTGTCTGCTTGCAGTAGCCGGCATACACTGCAGTATTGTTAATATAGTGAGAGAAGAGCACTTTTAAGATTTCTCTAGCTCAGCAGCCAACTCTTCAGTCTTTTGTCTGCATTCACTGAAATAGTTTCTCTGTGCAGCTATAAGCTCTTTTATTGCCACCAAATTGGTTTGCTGTGAACCATCGATAAATTAAGTTGAAAAAGAGTTAATATGGATTAAGCGGCAAATTAATATCTCAAAATCTTAATTTGAAAAATTAAAAAAAAACACTCACAAGGATGTTTGGTAGAAGAAAAAATCCTCTTTTTCTGTGACGATTTCATTTTTGTAGCTTAACAGAACTGTTTTTGTGTCTGTATATTAGAACCAAGACATATAAGCGAACAATATTGTTGTTTTCAATTAGATCTTCTTCAGGCTTTACTCTAATTTAAATAGATTTGTATATAAAAATTTTTAACCAATGACGCTGATTTTTTGTGGATCAAATAACAATAATAATAATAATAATATGGTAAATGTTTTGAACGTAGTTAATAACGATGATTATAATGATAACAAAATATTGATAATAAGGTTTATACAGGTGGAGAAAGCTATATAGTGCGAACAACCAGACAGCTAAACAAACGCATTAATAAGCATCTTCCTTCATGGTCCCGAAAAAGTCAAATAAAGTCTATAAGAAGTTCTATTTTGGATCATTTGATTGATAGCGGTCACCAAGTGAACAAAATAGTGCCCTCAAAATTATCTGTCGCATTCCATCGAACCTTTCGAATCCGTCTTTTACACATGGCTGAAGCTATGGGAATTCGAGAGAACAGTTCTAGTCTTTGTATACAAAAGAAGTTTATTCTACCTTTGTCCCTCCCTTGGCCTAGGGGATAAATTCTAATCAAAACCCTCCCACCCTTTCTTATTTTCCATCTCCGTATTTCTATGATATCTATTTAAACTCTGATTATATGTCAACTTCATATTTGGTATTACGTAAATCTTAAGATTTGACCTAATTTATTTATCGAGTTGTCTACATATATACATATACTAACTTTGTTATTCTTATCGCCACCTGCATAAACCTTATTATCAATATTTTGTTATCATTATAATCATCGTTATTAACTACGTTCAAAACACTTACCATATTATTATTATTATTGTTATTTGATCCACAAAAAATCACCGTCATTGGTTTAAATTTTTATATATAAATCTATGTATATTAGAGTAAAGCCTGAAGAAGATCTAATTGAAAACAACAATATTGTTCGCTTATGTATCTGTATATGTTCTGTTTGGGTCCTTGTGGCTGATTATGCGTCCGTGGCACAGTGGTAGAATGCTCGCCAACCACGTATATAGTTCGGGATTCGATCCCTGGCCAATGCACTCCTTCACCTCTCTAAGCCAGTAATAAGACTGGTAAAGAGGGAAGGTTGGGCATGAGGCTAACAACATCATCCCGTAAAAATAATCGCCATTGCTATAGAAACTTCAGGGTTCTATCTTGAAGCCCTATGTTACTCCACCGGGAACGTAAAGGAATAAAAAAAATATATGTTCTGTTTACGAGTTGAATCTATGTGGATCTACTGTTTCACATGCTCCTGTGGAGTTGATTACTTGGAAAGTTCCATATAATACACAGTAACAATGTGTATTATATCCAATAGGCTTATCCAATGTGGTATTATATTCGATTAGCATGGTGTTTTTTTTAACCCTTTACATTCCCAGTGGAACACAGGGCTTCAGACTAGAGCTTTGAAGTCTCGGTAGCAGTGGTGTTTACTTTTACGGGATGGGGTCCAACCTTCCCTCTTTACCAGTCTTATTACTAGCTTAGAGATGTGAAGGAGTGTTTCTGCTGGGGATCAAACCCCGAACCACATGAGGCGTGGTTGGCGAGCATTCTACCGCTGTACCACCGAAACACCACCTAGTTTGATGTAGAACTTCTGATTAAGTCACCACAGTATGTTGTGCTCAAGTCGTAGCCTAATGATATACGCATATACAGATATTCGATTACACAGAGTCTGTACTCTACTCCTATATTACATTGGACACCGTAAGCCTATGTCCTGAGGAAATGCATGGATAACTACTATCCGGTTTGTTTGATGAAAAGCGGACACACACAATGTAAGAAGTCTTCTTAAATCAGGTCAGTTAGCCTCTTGGGATATACCCTTTAAAGTTTTCCATAGGGCTAAATCAATCACTCCAAATAATTACCTTATCTCCGCTTCATGTAAAACCAAAGCTATATCTATGCATGAACAATTACTTAAATTATGCTTTGATCACAATAATGTTCTCATGATGTTTCACTACCACTTGAATACATTCCACTTTGCTTTCTTTTATGTTATCCTTACCATTGCAATTTTATTTATTTTTTGAAAACACTTGACCTACTTTTTAAAAGTCAATCTGAACGAAGAATATTCCTTTCAATAATTCCTCTTCAGGTTCTTACAATTATAAAATATAATATTTGTTGTCGTTACAATAAAGGCCAGTTATGCGGCGGATACATTTTTTAACGTAGAATAACAGATTAGTTATGGGGGGAAATTAAGTGCATAAAAAACTCGATCATGTCACATTTGGTCGATAGTGGACATCGTATCGATGTCAACACAGCTTTCAGGATTATATATCGAATTCCGAAGTTGTTATCAGGTACAGTTCGCCTACGTATCCTACACATAGCTGAAGCTGCTGCAATAAGATCGACTAAACCGGAACTTTGTATCCAAAAAGACCACGTTCAGACGCTGTTCCTACCGTGGCCAAACTTGGATTGATGATTCTTCTTTTCCCCAAGAGTGCTGCTTCCCCTTAACCCTCTTGGTTGTTGTTTTCTTTCTTTACTTATTATTACTATTATTATTATTCCTCATAAGTTATACCCTTCATGCAAATATTCCGTCAATACTATCGAATTTTCATTTATACTATCCGGACTTATTATTAGTGATATTACCTCTTTTCTCAATATATGTCTCCACCTGTTTCATTTCACACATTCGTTATTTCATAATGAACCTCTCATTGTAGTCTTACTATCTCCTGTTTAACACAGACCACTTTGTACCTGACACCTTTTGTAACCTTGATCTGATTTGTCAGTTTTCCTACCCCACATTATGCCAATCTATTATGATTAATCATCACCATTGTCTCCCGTTTTACAATATTTTCTAATCGATTTCAGCCTAGCACGACGTTTGTCACACAAATATGACTATTTATTTTGACACCCCATAACTAATCTGTTATTCTACGTTAAATAATGTATCCGCCGCAGAAATGGCCTTTAATGTAACGACAACAAATATTATATTTTATAGTTGTAAGCACCTGAAGAGGAGAAGGATGTATGGAAAGGAATATTCTTCGTGTTCAGATTAACTTTTAATTCATAATATGGTAATATTTCACACTATCAAATCTTACTTTTTAAAATCGCAATATTGATCTTCCTTATTTAATAATCTATAAACTTTTAACGTTAACCCCTTAAAAAGACATGTTGATTATCTTTACTCTGGTCATATGTGTAAACTGACTGAGCAAAGTTTTAGTGTCAGTTACTATCTGCCCTCCATAGTAGAATACGAATGTCCAGCTGGTTGTAAAAATAAAGTCATTGCAGAGAAATTCTCCCTTCACTCTTAAAATATCTGTGATTTTCTGTATTAAGTAATGGTATATCAGTGGACAAATTTGCACCTAAAGTTTCGTATTTTGTTTGCACCGATCAGTAAAACGTTTGTGTATTTGTACAATACGTTTTAATACTAGCCATCGTGTTGACTTGAGAGATTTGAATGAATCTTACTGGGATGAATCATTCCAGTCCTGGGTAACTTTCTGTGTTCTGGTAATCCGAACCCACCTGATCTATTGGTCTAATCTATGTGGTCGACCTGACAGTCATTACACGGCAATTAGTAAATTATGTTATTATTATTCTTAATTGGATCTGTTGGATTCTTAGTATATGAAATAAAATTATGAGGGGTGTACTGGGAAACGCTGTAACTTTCTGTCTACCTTAGTGATATTCAAGACGGTGATAATGGGAGTAGTTATGCAAAACTTCATTCTACCTACAGATGTCTACGGTTAGTCAACAAAGAGTTGCAAATTATTATAAGAACAAGTAGTGACTGATATCCGTTACCCAAAAGGTGACTGTCGTGGCCTACTGGCCAAATGGATGCGTTTTAAAAGGTAAGCACAGAGGTTTCGAGTTTCAGGTAGTTACATCGCTATATGAAGAGTCCCAAATGGAATTAAATGCGGATCGTTGATTTCACTGCTAACAGTCATTATGAACTAAGATATACACATGGTGTACACGTGTGCTTTACTTATTATTATTGTTCCCTTGGGTTCCTAGTGGAACATAGGGCTTCAACTCCACGTCTCCACTTGCTTCTGTCTTCTGCTGTACTTTTCACATACATCCATGTTAGTCCATACTGTTTCAACTCCTCTTCACACGACCTCCTCTATGTTACCCTTGAACGTCACACTCGCCGATTCCCTTTCGGGTTCCACTTGAGCAATGGCCTGATTCGCGCGCGATGTCACCCAGCGACCTCCTCAGCGAGTGTCCAATCCATCTCAATCCACTTTCTCCTGAATATTTGTTGGTTGGCGATTGGTTCTTGTTTTGTTTGTTAGTGCCCATAGTTTATTGTTAGTGATTCTTTCCGGTCGGGCCCGGCCATCAGATATCCAGTATTGAGCCAGAGAAGATAGTTATTGATAAATGTAACGTCTGCAACAGGCTGTTGGAAATATTCTTTGTGACCCGCCCGCCAAGTTTCTGATCCGTATAAAAGAACTGACTGACTTGACGTATGTGTTGAAAATCCGAGCGAATTTTGTTGTTGATGCTGAGTGACGAGGATTTCCAGATTGGTTTCAGGTTGATGAATGTGTTTCTCGCCCTCCCCGATTCTCACTCAATTTGACATCCTCGTCCGTTCCGACTTCCTGTAGTTGAGACAATGCTCCCTAGATCAGTGAATGAAACAATATCTTTCAAATTCCTCCCGTTGATGGTGATTGGCGCTGGTTGTTGCTGTTACTGTTGTTATAGGTTGGTTATTTTCACAACCCCCGTCTTGTGTGTGTTCACCTGGAGTCCTGTCTTCGCCGGCTTCTTCTTCGACCAGTTTGTCGGTTTTCGCTTGTAAGTCTTCGATTTTGTGTGTGTGACATCAGACAAAAATCATCCACGCGGGAAATCCAGGTCTTCTAGATTCTTCACGTCGGTCCAGGATATCCCTGTCTCCTCGTTTCCCGCTGCGTGTGCTTTAAACTGACTTATAATTTCACGCATACCTATTAGATAATAGCCAGCTGGTGTGCAATATACATTCCAAATAGCATATCATAAAAGATATATCCCCCAACCCTTTGCTTCAAAAAAAGGATTAACAATTACAATAAAATGATATGCATTTGATAACTTACATTCACTGACTTTATTCTCTCTAATTTAGCTCTTGTCACTTCCAGTTGTTTGTCAAGAACGCCTTTAGCTTTCTCCATGTTTGCTAAAGTCTGTTTGTTTAAATACACAAAAATAATAGTGCACATTAGTAACACTGGCTAGGGGAAATATGTGTACACAGGTGGTAATTTTCTAATTCATTTAATCACTTAAATACTGCAGAGAAGTCGATTATCCCGAAATAGAATTTTTCACGTATCAGGCTAACAGTTATATTTATTGTGTGTGGTTGTTATTTAGGTAGGTGGAGAGGGACTCGAATCCAAGAATTACATATTGGTTAAAACTTGGGCACTGCAGTAGAGTATAACTCGATTTCGGATAAGATTTTATAGGTTTAAATGCCACCCTAATTCCTGCTTTATTTAGAATCCTTCGTTGGGTCTCAGATGTCCCCTTCTTACATGGTATAACAGTAGATGATTTATATTCTTTCTTATTTATGTTATCATTATTAGTTTCACAATTGTTTTTATTTCGCTTTTGGCCTTTTTTCGGTCTTCCTGAAAACCCCATGAAGCACATCCGTTCACATTTGGCAAATATTTGTACAGTTTTGAATGGTAAAAATGCCTGATCTCTGTTAAAGAGTCGGCGCCCCTTATGCACACATACTTTGCCGATGCCTTGAAGTACACATGATGTTATCGGGTTTATACCGGTTACCACACTGAAGTCTAGCACCTGAGTTTTATTCTATTTGAGACCATAGATGAGTACTGTTTAAATTCAGCGTAGAGTTAATATCAGTAAAAAGTTTGAGCATTGTGGACTAGATCAAATAAAGTATTATTATATATTTCAATAGTTTACACACAATGATAAGTTTTGTTATTGTTAATTTTGCTCGAAATATTACCAATAACAAAACTTATCATTGTGTGTAAACTATTGAAAGATAATTATACTTTATTCAGCGTAGAGTTTAAGGTGAAGAAAATAGGTCAATTGATAAAATTGTGTTCCTTAAAGCCTTCTGAATTTACCGTAGCGAGAGTGTATTCCTTTATCTTTACAAGTTTGCAGTTGCATGACACCCAGCCGTCCATTTTATCTAGGCTTTTTGTCGATGACTAGTCGAGGTCTAGAAATGTTTCTGATGGTAGTCTAAGCTTAACATCTGTGTGACGGCTGACAAACCTTCTACCACTAAACTTCTGACTCATCCACCCTATTGTTAAGAAAGTGTAAATGTGGTACAAAAAAAAATTAATTCTGCTCAGCTAGTCACCCAGAAATATTGAGAATCAATACAGTCACATTTTATTCGAAAATTTGAACTACTTACTAAAACTAAAGTAGTATAAATAGTCAGTAGAATTTTCAGGTTACAGGAGAATAGGCAAGCTCCTAAAACAAATGCTAATTAAAGTCAGTAAAATCTCCTTATGAACAGAACAGTGATGAATATAAATCTACTATACGATTGGTGAACAGCTTTCAGAGAGGCATCTATTATTTCAAATAAGAAGTGATGAAGGATATGATCTATTGAATTTAGTGGAAGGACAGTTAATCACTAATGTCATTACTTCTAGTGATATACTGTGACAGTGCTGGGATTTTGTAAATTGACAGAGGTAAACATTTATGATAGTGAATCCCTTGAGTTCCGACTGGAACACAGTAGCATATCACCACCTTATTCTTGTTGATGCAGTATTTTCTATCAAGTCAACAAAATGTAGCTGTTGATGAAAGTGTGAAGCAGCCTGTTGGAGATGCGTTTTTGACAGATTCACCAAGTCTCAGAATCTCACAGAAACACTGATTGGCTTGACATTAGTACGGAAAATTCGAATCTTGTTTCTCTTACGCTGTTTACAGTAGATTTCCAAGCTGATTCGGGAATGATGATGGTCTGTTTTCCTTTCCCGACCCTGTCTTCGACGTCATCAGCCTGTAGTTTAAACGACGCTACCCAGATTGAGTAAGTGAAGGAGACGACGTCCTCAAGATGCCTCCCACTGATAGTGATTGGTGCTTGTTGTTGTTGATTTTTGTCGTCGGGTATCTTCGCCATCTTTGTTTTTCACACATTCATCTGAAGTCTTTACTTCTCTTCCTCTTCTACCAACTAACTTGGTGGTGGTTTCCAACTGTAGATCTTCCGATTTTATGAGACTTGAAACAGCTGGGAAGTCCATATCTTTAGGGTTCTTCTATCAGTTCCACACATGTCCTCCACCTTACTTCTGACGATCTGCCACATGATCCAGTTCATCACAATCAGGAATACTGTCGGCGATAGCAGACAGCCTTGTTCTACTCCTGTCTTTACTCCAGATGCACCACTGAGCTTTCCTTTGTCAATCATTTGGTATGTGGCGCGAGCAGATATCGGTTGGATGATTTTTCAATAAAGCTTTGGGGCACTCCGTAGTGTTGAAAGATATCAAAGCTTCTATTGAAACCTGCATTACTTATCACTGAACTGAAATCTCTCCACGGACATACCATTACTCACTCAGTGGTGTATTGTGTGTGTGTTACAGTTACTTCGTTTAACAGATGAAACTTAAGTGGGACGAAACGCACATGCTGGATTCCACTGCCAAAAGACACCACTCATTAACTAAACAGCATCACTGTTAACCTAAAAAAGCATCATTGAGCCCTTCGTAATAGGGGTGGGCAACATGTACAGGTGAACACTAACAAGATAGTTGCGACCCAGTAAAATCAATCAGTTCATGGGGGATCTCTAAAGAATGATGATTTCAGCAAACAATAATAATAACAGCAACAACAACAACAGCTGATATCTCTTTATAACAGATGGTTCTTGTCCCCCAGTAATTTTTGTGACTGCTCTAGTGGATGTCTGTCTGTTTTCGACACAGAACTTTGTACCGGTGTGCACCAGTTCAAGTCACCACACCATGTAGCACACAAAGCAAGAGAAGAAAGTAGAAGAAATGCATAATAGAGACAGCAAACAGAGAAGTGAGACAAAGGAATAGTAATAACGAAGAACGATATAGTTTCATTGGAAATCATAAGTCACAAGGAGTGGATGCATCGGCACCAGCCATTAAGAACGATACGTTTGAGCCATATCACCAATTGTTTCCAACCATTGATTTTTCCCGTCCCGAGGACTCCAACCAGTCAGGAAGTCTACACCTTCCTACGTGTCTTAGACTAACTGTTGTAGATTTCATTGACTGGTGAAGCCATGCTTTTGTTTGACCACAAGTGGCTCTTTTCCACTCTGACCAATCCTACGTCAGCTAGCATTGGCTGTCGGTCGATGAAGGCGATGACTAGGCATACGTAACACATGTCCTGACCGTCTCTCTCAGTCGATGTAATTTCACAGCCTCGTCGATTGATTTTCCCTCCTTCTTACCTAGCACTTGACCGCTGCCTAACCTCAATATTGCTCACCTTATTATACCACTTCACACGAGAGATAGGACGCAGGCACCTATGATCGAAGACAGCTAGTCTTTTCATGTCTTCCCCTCTCAATGGCCAAGTCTCACAGCCAACCATTAAGGAGGAAGGAGCGGACTGATGAGCAGTACACCCGCCCTTTGGTCAACAGCCAGTCGGATACCACATCTACGCCAGAGACGGCGTAAACTGGCATATGCGAAACTAGCCCCCTGTATCCGTGCTGAGATTTCGTCAGAGATCAACCCGTTGGCACTGGCTGATGGTACTTCCCAAATAAATGAAGCGGTCAACGTGCTCTACCACTTCACTCCTATTTCTAAACTAGGAGTCAGGGTGGTCCAGTCCTTTAACATCATCATTTGGTGGGGTCGAATCGCATGCCAACCATTCGTGGATTGCAGCTCTAGTGGATACCGCTTTGACACTATGAGTATCATAAAAAACAAAAGCATCTGGAGGAAAGAATTCAACACACAGTATACTGGTTTACGTAAATGCGTCCAGTGTATAAAAATATTGAGTGAAGCAAATGATTATTTTTTCAGTTGACTGCTTAATCAATAAGTGTATTGTCTGATCACGAACCTACATCGCTTTCACCTTGACCTCAGACTAGAGATAAAGAAAAAGGTATGGAACCTAGACTATGAACTGAATACCTTACAGGTACGATATTACACATACTACTGATTGATTGATATGAGTAGTTGGAAAGCACTCATGTTAAGCCGACAGGGCTTTTTCGGGCCAGTTTATCACTAGACCGTCGTTTCGATCCTTTCAATTAGACATCAATGTAGCAATGTGGCCAACTTTGACAAGTATCTCACAGTAGTCATGATTTTCAGATGAGCTTCTAGCATTCTGTGCAACTGATTATAAAGTGGGGGCATTCATGCGACTGGATGACAAATAGTGCTGACTGTGCCTTAGACAGGTATTTAAGTTTTGGTGTTCACTGGCCTTCATCAGTCAGTGAAGCGTATATTTTCAATCTAGAAAGAAGGAACTGATTGATATCCTCCACTGTGGCTGTAAACCGACCGAGAGCTGCTACCTTGATGTGGTGGTCGGGCTTGCACATCGCGATAACCCAACAAGCTGCACTGGCTGGAACCAATGTTCCTGCGGGTCCTGTCATGCCAGGAAGGTTGTTAGGATAGCGATTAGACTAAAAGCAGTTACCGGCTTCATGTAGGAATCTTTCTTACACTATGCTAGGGGTCTGAAGGCGAAGTTGTACTGCTGGGGAACAGGAGTGTAACAGCAGTGAGGTGTTTCCCTCAGATGACCAGCATGTCAGCCAGCTATGCTGTCTCTCCACTCCGGAGAGAAGGGGGTTAGAAAAGGTCGACTCCCGACTTGCGGCGGTAAGTTTACTAATACGGAACCAATCCCAGAAACCAGTTCATACAGGTCGTGTGTGACCGGCTGGCCTCAAGCAGTTGTCCCCTGGACTCTGCGGTCACGCAACATTAACCCTCTTTCTGTTTCAGGTACCGGAAGAATCAGTCAACTTCCACGGTTGGTTCGGCAGCCGGGAAATAACAACCGCCCACACACTTCCAAAAGCACACGAAGCCTTCATGACCATCTCCATATACTGAACATTCACTTAAAGTTAGTGGTTTGGCGTAAAAAAACTCGCAATTTTCTTAAATTAATTCTCAGATATTGTTGTGTAGGCTTCTGCACATGAAATAACAATCTAATGATATCAACTGGGTATGTGTGTATCACATCTCCTATTGATGTTAATGTCTATACATAGATAAATTAGTGCATATTTTAGAAACACAGTGCGAGAGAATATGATTAGCCAAATGCATTTCGTGTGTGCTTGGTGTGTGCCTGCACGGATTACCTCATCTAAGAGCTTCTCAGACACACACACACACGCAGACTTTAAAAATACACAAATGTGTGGTAGTGGTTTTGATGAATTATACAGTTGCCGTGGTAAATACAGAGATGAAATTAACAACTGTGACTACCACATAATAATAGTGTGTTGACACATTGGGTATATATTTCTGTATTTGTAAGTGTGTGTGTCACATGATGCTATAGCTATTCGTTTCTTTAACGAATCATTCAACGACATTTGAAAATCAAAAGTGTATGCCGAAGGCAAATACACAAAGCGAATTTAGAGCATTTTCTAAATTTTTCCAAAAATAGTAAGTCCTTTGGTATTTCGGTAATCCCTTTCATCTCAAAACACGCTAAATATTTCTTTTTCTTCACTTCTTCGCGTTCTGAATAGAATATAAGGGCTTCAAGCTTTCAGCTTTAAACTTTCAATAGCGGTGGGGATGTTACCACTCTTACATCCAGTCTTCCCTCTTTTTCCCTGCTTTATTAGCTGGCTAGTAGGCAAACTGGACGAGACTTTGAGGGAGGGGTGTGTGCTTCGGTGACTGAGAATCAAACCCAAATCTCCATTTTGGCAGTTGGTGAGCATTCCATGCATAGCGCTGTTATGTCGATGTTGGGATTTGAAGGCGAGTTAGTGTGGTAAAAAAGATCAATGCTTGAACCACTAGTCCATAAGGACTAGCACAGTAACTAGACGTGGAGTTCTTAATTATAATAATTTTTCTTATAATAGAATGCTGGCAGATTTTCTCAAAATAAGAAAAATGTAACACTGTAACGTGTACAGTGTTGCCTTGCACGCCTGAGTGGTCATATGAACTTTGATTAGTAAGTGCTGAGGTCTCCTTCCTTTGAATACTGTGGTCGGCTACTATGCTCTCATTAGTTTGTTCACTTAACCTTGAGGCTCACCAGAGTAGAGTGAAGATTTTTAATCATTAAAATTTTATGTATAAGCGAAATCAAACATCACTGGGGTGGGTTGTTTCTTCTCATTTTGAGACTCTTCAATAGTGCACAATTGAGAACTAACTAGGAATCAAACCTAGGAGCTTTAAGTTATTGGAATCACTCTTTCTGGGGTAATTGGTCACATTTTCACCTGGTTAACCTAAATTCACTGGTTTCACTACCTGAGGAAGTAACAGACAAACCCTGTTGAAGAGTCCCAGGCTAGAACAAAACGGATGTCAAGTGTTCTGCTTCATTTTTACTCATTTTTAAGGGATGTAGGTTGAACGTGAAGTGAACAAATCTTAAAGTCTGAACAGGAAAATGCAGCTCGTTGCTGTCATTATTATCAAGCAACCACACGTGTCTGCATATTACGTTTTCTTCATTCCTTAACAAACAGATGTGGTGGATCATTTGAATTTTAGTTACTTCCTATCTCTCCCTACTTTCACCTTTTATTTTTACTTCAAACGCACTTTTCACAGAAGTAAAGTTATTTGCTGGCTTATCCGATCGTATTACTATTAATAGTGATATTCATTAATTGCGTTTCTAGTGGAATGTACGTTTTTAGAGGGGCATATCTTTATTTCACTCGCTACTTGGATATCTCTTTCAGCCTGGCTCCCAAACTGTCTACGAGCTCCCATTTTCCTCTCTTCAGATGGTGTTCTCCATCTCATAATCGGACACACAAACAACTATCTTTACTTCTTATTCGGGCTTCACCAGATGATGGCCTATCTAGCGTATTATGTCACTGGAATATCTCCTCAACCCACGGTGTGCTCAATCGTCTCATCTGCATTTCTGTCTGCAAATCTGTTGGCTGGCTAGATAATAAATTTTTAGATGAGTGGCTTTTAGACATGTTAAAAGATACAATTTTTACATATATATAGGTTCAGGTTGGAAAAGAGCCAGTGGTGGCCAAACAAAAACATGGCATCAATCCATGAAATCCTTGACAGTTAAACTGAGTCAGGTAGGGAGATGCAGACTCCCGGGTTGGGGCCCTCGGGACTCTAGGAATCAATGGCTAGAGACAGTAGGTGACATGGCTCAAAATCGTTGTCAATGGCGCAGATGTATTCAGTCTCTGTAATCTTTCATATTCCTGTCTACAATTACCCATTCTGTTTCACTCTTATATTTGTCAAACTCTATTGATTCTCTTCACTCATCTTCTTGTCTACCTTGTGTGCCAATTGGAACGTGGCAACTCGAACTGCTGCACTTCGGTGCCAAGTTCTATGTTGAATCCAGACAGACAATTTTTACAATCAGGGGAGAAGCCTGTGCTTCATTGTTGGTGCTATTTAATGCATATCCGAACCCCCGGACCTACTATCAAGCTGTATTAACCCGGATACCAACCAACAGACAATATAAACCGGTAACTGAAATTCACCAAACAGAGATTCTGAAAAGAAAAGCAAAACTCACACTGGGATCTGGATTTTCACTGTTCTTCACCTTACTTCTTAATTTGTCATAGTCCAAACGGTATGATTCTAGATGGCCACGTTCCTTCTGCAGAGAAATAAGAAAAGAGGAAAGCACAGAATTTTCATCTGGTGGCTTGCACGGCTTTAACTGATTCAAGTTAAGTTAGACGTTAACACTAAATGACATCAATTAGATAGAAAGTCATTGGTAAAAATCAGAACTGTTTTAACCACTTTCTTTTCGACACTTTGGTAGTACGCTGGGGACAGACCCAGGGTCTATAAGTTAGGAGGCGAGCTCGCTAGGCATTCAGTCACTGGGATAAGATCCAATGATTTATGGATTTTAACTTCTGTCAGGTTGAGAGATATCATCTGCGAGTACCTGTCTTTATACACAACTTGATAGACTCCACTGGTCACGAATTCTCACCAGAAATCTAAGCAACTTCACACTGTAATTTGTGAGCGACACACAACATGAACAAAATCATTCCACTCAACTCTTTGTCAGCGAAAGGCGATAAAACCAACATCATCGTCAACAAAATAAGTTGCAACAACTGCAAAAAACACTACATTGGCCAAAGTGGACGTCCTCTTCGTATCCACGATCATAAGCTAGCCGTCAAAAGACATGATATCCACTCCCTCATATCGACTCGCTGCATATAGACAACCACGGACATCAAATCGACTGGGACAACCAGTGTTCAACTATTAGACAAAGGAAACACCAAGAATGCTAGAGAATTTTTAGAAGACTACCTGGCATTCTAGTGAATGGTCAATCAATAGACACATCGAGATAGACAAGATTTATCAACAAATAAGAAAAAACCTCACACACAGAAAGGGTCGAAGTTCAAGTCAAGGAAACAATCAGTTCCAATACAAGTAGCCACTGCTTAATAGTATACGAGCTCGCCTTGTAACCAGAAGGTCCTGGGTTCGAATATCGGTGGGTACATACTGATGAAGAGTCCCAAACTAGGACGAAACAGTTGTCCAGTACTCCCAGGTTTTCCAATGGTTCTCTAACTAATGTCAGCTCACAATGGTTATTATTCGTTATTCCCATAGGAAACTGAAAATTATATCGAAAGCCTTCTGGATGATTAATTTTCATCACTTATAACGACGAATCGAATTTATTCATTATCTCTGAGACACTATGGATAATTCGCTAACAGTCTATTTCGGCCTGCTAATAGATTGTAGTGGCCGACTGTGTGGAGTGAGAAAACAGGCATATATATGATAGACAAAAGGATCCCCTCTAGATGATTTAGCAGAAGAAGAAACAAGAGACTAATTTTGTTGAAAATTGATTAATGTTGTTAAGTCAGTGTAAGCGCGCGCTTCAGTATGGCCTGCAGACCTGGTAGGCACACTAATAAAAGCACTTCTGACAGCCTAATGTAGGCTTTCATCACTGTCTACCTTCTTTGGTGCGTTAAAATACTGGAGATCTATTGACTGGACAGAAAAGATAAGCAGTCTACAAGAAACTCTAACGGCCAACCACCAAACAACCTACTGCCGATTCAGGAAGAAATGGACAAGAATGGATTGAATATACTCTGGGAAGACGTTCAAAGGACATCATGCACGCACCATGCAAATCGTTGTCAAGTATGACCAGTGTGTGACACGTAGACCATGTGATAAAGGAAATGAAACGTTGTGGACAGCCGTAGAGCGCCATATAAAAATTAAATCAGAGAGAGGGGAGTGAAATGAAGATGTCAATATTATTTAATTCAGGGGAAATATAATTCAAAGAAAACCCAATAAAATTAACAATTTAAGGAAGTGTACTTTCACCATTAACACTATATAAATATTATTCAGGTCAAACCTTATTTCATATATAAAGGCCAATCAATCTATATTCCATTTTATGTCCTTTTATTCACACCTGATTGAGTTTTATCACTTACCTACTTACACATACACACACACGTGCATATACATTTTTGAATTACCTACTTATCGATTATCACGTGATAAGGACAGCATAAAGACACTAATTCCTTAAGTAGTAATAATATTCAATCACACGCACACATACCACTGATTTGAAAATTTATTCGGATTAAAAGAGGCCACGTATGTATGTGCATGTGTGTGTGGCGGGGGGAGGAGGTGAACATAGGTGGAGTCGCATAGGTGACACACACACACACACATACATACATATACTGAAAAATGGTGCGAAATTTCGAAGTGCCTCATGAAAGCAAATGAAAACTGATTGTTCCAACCAACTTTTGAAACATATTAGCAACAAGTCGATGAGGAAATCTTTTCCTCTTTTATCGATGTAGTCATCTTCGAAAGGTGCATGTACGATTGTATATTTATATTAAACAAGAAAGCATATATATATATATATATATATATATATATATATAATCAGTGGTGACCGATGACGAACTGCAATGATCAATCAATCATAGTACCCAACCTAACTCTGAAATTTCACGACATATATTCCGCCATCGTCAGTTAACCAGTTCCACTGAGGACCATCTGTCCACAACATACTTACAACCCCACTAATCCAGTGAAGAACTCAAATAATTCAATATCCGTATGTAGTTAGTCACATTGAATTATTTCCCATGCATCGGGGTTTTAGGTGCCGGTATATCACTTCAGTTGTCAGGAGTTAGAATTAATGGGACACTGGAGTCCAATCTCCAGTCCTTCTCCAGCCTATTAGCACAATGGTGAATGGAGACCAGCAGTGGAATCCACGATGCTGATTTCATCCTATTTGGGACTCGCCACACCTGAATGTACCCGTATTCCCAGGTGAGTGATGGTGTTTCGTCAAGACTCGAACCCGGAACTCGGAAGTGTAAAAGCAGCCATTCCTTGTGCAATGGCTATCAGTTATTATTCGTTTAAGACAATGTCAGGATCTTATATTCCGCCCTCCTCGTGCCTTTTCAGCGCACATAAAATAAGAACAAAAATAATCTTTTCCGTCCTACAGAAAACAAAGAAGAAAGCAAATTGGCACAAAAATTGTATAACATCTAAAAATCAATTTTTTGCGGTTTAAGTAAGTTTTGATTTCCCTGTCGATCTGTCGGAGCAAAATGATCAACCGCGGTTGAAGTGTCAGCTCCTAGTATTATTATTATATCCTTTAATCCCTAGAGGAACATAGGGCTTCAGCTGCGCGTCTCCATTGCCTTCTGTTTTCTGCCAACTTTTTCACCTCGCTCCAAGTCTGCCCCCACATGCTTTCACCTCCTCTTCACATGACCTCCTCCAAGTCACCCAACCCGCCGCTTCCCTTTCGGGTTCCACTCGAGGGCTTGTCTAGTGATGTCACTTAATGGTTTCCTCAGCGTATGGCCAATCCATCTCCATTTCTTCCTGCCTATTTGTTTCACAGTCGGTTCGTGCTGGTTGGTTCGCTCCCAGAGATCCCTGTTGCTGATCTTTTCTGGCCATCTGATCTTGAGTATTAAGCGAAGACAACTCCCAGTACGGAAATCCTAATGAGGTCTGAGGACTAACCGGATGTTATTTGGCGACTGGCAGTCAAATCCAGTATGCGCACTTCGTCCTATTCAGGACTCATCAACTGGATTTCCCTGCATCTCCAATGAGCATCTATACTACGAGCCAACATGTCAACCGAGGCTGGACATTTCGGAGAAACAAAACTGACTTGAACTGTAATGGTTAATTTCTGTAGCAAATGTTTTACTATGGGACAAGAAAAATATTGTTTCTGTGCATAGTTTAATTGCACTTTAAACAAAGGGGAAGGGGGGGGGGAAGAGTAGAGTGGAACATATGATCCAAAGAGTAAGTAAAAAATGCACTCTTTTGGTAAAAAAGTACATGTGGCAGAAAATAATATTTTTTTTTAAATCTATGGACAACAATAATATAAAAATAATCCATTGTATGAAAATTTTTCATGCAAATATTACTACGGAAAATTCAATGAAATTGATTGTTTTTGTGCACTTGTTTTCTGTGTACAGAGTTCAAATATTGACAAAACGGTTTGAACTATTTATTGATTTATCAATTAAAACTATTTGTGAAGCATATTTATAATTGTGAAAAAGAGAGATATAGTTAATATCTGTTTAACTGCTAGATACGTGAGTTTAGTTGATATTTAAGGAAAGTATGGAAGCAGGAGATTCTCTCTCTCTCTCACACACACACATACAAACATACATATAGTAGAAGCATCTATGCCCAAGTTGAGTGTTTGTGTTATGGTTGTGTTACAGGGTTAACTTCAGTGAGAACCAAGTATCTGGAATTCTCCACTAAATAGGGTTATTATTATTATTTTTTACGAGTTGATCACAGATTGATATCAGTTAGAGAACCATTGAAAACCAGGGAGTACTGGAGATCTGTTTCATCCTAGTTTAGGAATCATCGGTAGTACGCACCCACTGACAGGGCTCGAGACCAGGACCTTCCGATTACAACACTGGCAAGCTCGTATACCATTTATCCACTGGGACACGATTCAATGGCCAGTCCATGAATTCTAATTTCTACCAATTCGTGATTTAACGCGACCTCAACCAATGTCGCTGGTGGGACATCCATCCTCACACATGATTGGATGGACCTCACTGGTTACGAATTGGCAGAAGTTAGGATTCATGGACTGGCCATTGAATCGTGTCCCAGTGGATGAATGGTCTACGAGCTTGCCAGTGTTGTAATCGGAAGGTCCTGGTCTCGAGCCCTGTCAGTGGGTGCGTACTACCGATGATTCCTAAACTAGGATGAAACAGATCTCCAGTACTCCCTGGTTTTCAATGGTTCTCTAACTGATATCAATCCATCATAAACTCGTAAAAACAAAACTAACCCTTACAAACCAAACTATGGAATATTATTACTATTATTATTATTCGGCCCTTGGATTCCCAGTGGAACATAGGGTATCAGTCTCTGGCACATATCCCTTTGTATTCCGTTGTTTCCCAAATTTTTAGCCAGTTTCAAGATTGCATGTCCATCAACTTTCATTTTCTCCTCCGCGTCGTCCTCTGCTCGACCACGCCCGACTCATCGCTTCCCATATTCGAGTTGCTTGAATATCTCCTCATCTTGCATCTCCAATCTGTTAACCTGTATTGGCTTCTGTACATTCATTGGTCAGTTCGCCATATCGTCAGAACTCATTACCCATTCTAGCCAGTAGGTCATCTGGCCAACAGTATTCAGACAACGAAGGAACCTTCTGTTGACGAATACCTGCAGTAACCTCTTTTGAAATGCTGTCACACCTACTGAAGCACTTACTGACTTAACACTCATGAAAACACTTTGAATTTTATCCCTTGAAACAAGTGCTGTGATTCTACACACTGACTTCAGTATAATGAAGTCTGGCTACCTTTGACATGCCGCTTGTAATTAAAGTGATGCTGGCTGTCCATTTCTCCATGAACAATGGTAACTGGTGTTTTTTGTTGCTTGTCGAGTATCCTCATAACCACTGCCTTTTCTATGTTCCCCTGGGGTCTTACTATCTTTTATCAATCCTCCCTTAGACAAAGCTGTCTTCGAGCTAGTGAAACAGAATTGGTACAATAAATCATACGCGAAGTTCACTTCTTGTTCTTTATTGATTTGGTAAATTTTGATCTATGCCATTGTGTTCCTTGTGTGTGTTTGTCTATGTGAATATCCAGAGTAGCTTGATTACACCCTACCTCAAGGAAATCTCTAATATTCATTAATTAGTATTTCCTCCATTTAAAAAGTTTCCACAAATTTTCCCAGTCGAATTTGTATCCACAGTTGCGTACACAGGCATTCATTGACATGAGTTAGTATAGAAAACCACTAGAAATCACAGAGTACTGGGCAGATGCTTCGCCTGCTTAGTTTTCGACTCCTCACTAGTAACCATCAGAGTTCGTCTGTCTGTCTGTCTGTTTTCGACATAGAACTCTGCACAAATTTGCGGCAGTCCAAGTCGCCACACTCCGTGTAGCACGCGAAGCAAGAGAAGAAAGTACAAGAAAAGCATAATAGAGACAGTGGGCAGAGGTGTGAGACAAAGGAGGAGTAATAACGAAGAACAAAACAGTTTCATTGGAGATCATAAGTCACAAGGAGTGGATGCATCTGAGCTGGCCACTGAGAACGATTTTGAGCCATGTCACCAATTGTTTCCAACCATAGATTTTTACCGTCCCGAGGACCCCAGCCTGGAAGTCTACACCTTCCTACGTGGCTGGCTTAGACCAACTGTTGTGGATTTGATTGACTGGTGCCAAGTTTTTGTTTGACCGCCGCTAGCTTTTTTCCAGCCTGACCCTATATCCGCTAACATTGCTCGTCGAGGGAGGCGATGGCTTGGCATATGCGACACATGTCCTAACCATCTCAGTCTTTGTAACTTCACGACTTCGTCGATTGATTTCCCCTGTTTACCTAGAACTCTACGCCTAACCCCAATGTTGCTCACCTTATTATGCCACTTTACACGGGAAATAGAGCTCAGGCACCTATGATCAAAGACAGCTAGTCTTTTCATGAGTTCGTATGCAGGACCTTAAGGTTATGAGGTCAAACACATTTGCCATTCAGTCACCTGAGCCGGGATCAAATGGGCCATGAATTCTAACTTCTGTTGAGTCCTATCGCGTTTTCCTTTGTCATCACAGTAAGGGGAGTGACTTTCATTCTTTTTTTCCATTCCTTTGCATGTGCCAAGTGGAACATGAGACTTTAGGCTCCTTTATTATTGGAGTTTCAGTAGTGAGTTGAATGTATTTACAGAGGGGGATTGCTCGTAGCCTCATGCATTAAACCGTCTCTCTTTTGCGAATTCACCAGTGATTGCCAGTAAACTAGACGAGGTTAAGGAGTGTTTCGGTGGCCGAGAATCGAACCTAGACCTACCGAGAGGTTTGCAGGTATGAAGATTTCAGTATTTTAGCAATGACTTCGGAAATATTCTTCGTGTATGCATATAAATTACTTACTTGAATCACCAGACGATATCACTTAGGAAAACTGATTTGATGCTTACCACCAGCGATTGGCTATATAGAGGAAGTTATCTGAAATTCTAGTGAGAAGCTAGAGGAAAGTCACTCCATGGTGATATTGGCTGGCGACTTGGCTATATATATGGCTAATTGGCAGAAGCTGAAATTCGTCGGCCACTGGATCGAGTCCCAGTGGCTGAACGGTCTACGAGCTTGCCTTTGTAACCGGAAGGCCCTGGGATCGGATGATCTGATGGCTTAGTACTGATAAAGAATTCAAAACTAGGACGAAACAAATTTCCAGTACTCTCTGGTTTCCTCCTAATGGTTTACTAACTAATGTCACCTCGTGATCAAACTTGTATCCTTACAGAACAAAACTTGAGAAGCTTACTTGAATATCAGGCCAGTCCACCGATAGAAAATGATGCAGTACAGTCAGTGTTTTCTTCTCTAACAATGAATTCCTTCGGTGTTCAGCTGCTGCTACACCGCGACCATATTCGCCGCATTTCTTCAATGCCTCACCTAGAATTACAAAAGCAATAAAATAAATGAGCAAAATCAACAATCTGCAACAATGTTGACTAGCTTTATTGATTTGTAAGGGCCTATGGAGAGTTGCCATCTGAAAAGATGACAACCCATGGAATGCATCGAGGATGTCCACTGAACACATATTTTTAAAATTTCAACATATGCGTACTAATGGAAGTGACCCAAGCTACTTTTAGCGACTTAGGGATTGACTTCACACTAGTTTGTTATGCTGTAGACTTGAAGTGTGAGGATGACATTGCTATCCTAGCTGAAGGAGCCCGCGAAAGTCAGCGTCTTCTCAGTATGTTTGGTATGCATTTTTATCCTCTCAAATGTAAGATGGTGATGCAGGATTGAACTGCAGTGACTCCCAGCTTGGAGATAGAGAATGAAGTGGTGCAGCATGGCGACCCCTTGACTCATTCGGAAAGTTGCATCAGCCACAATGGACTGATTGCTGACCAAATCTCGGCGCGCATACAAAAGGCTTGAGGGGAATTTTTCAGCTTACATTAATCCTGAGGTAGGCATGATATCCGACCGGGTGTCGATAAAAAGTCGCCTGTACCACACGGCAGTTTGCTCTGCTCTCCCTCCTTATGGCTGTAAGATATAACCGTTGAAAGTAGGAAGTGTGAAAAAAGTGGTTTTGTTTGACCACAGATTTCTGCGCCTGATCTTCCATGTTAAGTGTACATAGAATCATATTCGTTATTTACACACGACTACAGTTTTCAGCGTGAAAATTCAACCCAGTTTCACTAGACGAAAATTACCCATTTAAGAATTAGAAAAGGTATTTAAACCGGTTAGACGGCTTAAATGGTAATCAAGAAAGCAAATGAAATAGCGTGACTGTGGCGGATTTTCAGTGATATCTGCGGAACTAAAAATGTAATACCTTGTAATAACAGTTTGTACTAGAAGCTAGACAACCAGTCACTGGGCTGTTTGAACTGGTTTTGGTCTCTAAGCTGAGTTAAAACCACGTACACTGCACTGAGATGGCCTGAATCAGAAAACAACCAAAACTGCCTTCAAGTGTTCAGATCACTTCGACCTAGCTAACTGGCTAGTCAGCATTACTGGTTCACTTAGGTGGTAACCAGTAGTATATGGCACTTCGCCTAACAACTTTTTTCTCTTCTTAATTATTTATCTATGAGTATGATTATTAACTTTCAACAGTAAAATTCATAAGGGATACACTTAAGATACTATAGCATACACTTGGAGTTCTTTCTAGTGTTTACCCTTACTTTCATGTGCATGGAGTTCAGTTCATTAGAAGTAACATACTTTGTATGTAAGTTGTATTAAGCATTATTAATATTGTCACAGATGACTGATTTCATTTTGGTTAAATAAATGCAAGAACTGGCGCGGCTTTATGCTCCTGTCCATCCCAAGCAAAATACTAAGCTGCGTCATCCTGGAGAGAATCAAACACGCCCTGGATGAAAATGTTCGACCGAGAAAAGCTGGATTCAGGAGAAACAGGTCATGTATTGACCAAATCGCCACACTACGGATCATCAATGAACAAAGCTTGGAATGACAGTCATCTCTCTATCTCACTCAACTTCATAGACTTTGAAAAGGCCTCCGATAGCGCAGCTTCGACCGAGAGGTGATTTGGAAACTACTTCGCTACTACAAGGTGCCGCCGACAATTATACATCTCGTCCAACAGTTATTCAACAATACTGCGTGCCAGGTAATCGACAACAGGAGACTTACGGAAGCCTTCGAAGTGAGGGTGGGAGTAAGACAAGCTGGCTGTCTACTATCGTCCATGACTTTCCTGACTGCAGTAGATTGGGTCATGCGGCAAAGGGCGGGCTATAAGGAAACAGGCATAAGAGGGACCCACACACAAAAAAGAACTTGGAGGATCTGGACTTCGCCGATGATATGTGTCTGATTTCACACAAACTGGAAGATATGCAAGTGAAAAGCAACAAGTTGGCGATAGAAACAGCATCCAGAGAAAATAGGACTTCGGGTGAACATAGAGGAAACAGATGTAGATGATGAAGATTCCTGACCAACAGTAACAACAACAACAGACAACAACCAGCATAAATGGGAGGAACCTGAAAGAAACAACCTCCTTCACCTACCCACCTACCTGCGAAGCATCGTTTCAACTACAGGCCAACGGAACTGACGAGGATATCAAAGCCAAAATCGGAAAAGCAAGACAAGCTTTCATTAGTCTTAAGTCTGTGTGGAGGTCAACATCACTCAGCATCAAAAATAAGATCCAGTTTTTCAACTCAAATGTGAAGTCAGGGCTACTTTACGGATCAGAGATTTGGCGCGTCATAAAGAGCATCTCAAACAAACTACAGACCTTCATTAACAGCTGTCTTTGCTCAACTCTGCTCAAGATCAGATGGCCGGCCAGAGAAGATCAGTAACAGGGACTTCTGGGAGCGAACCAGCCAGGAACTTATTGTGCAACAAATAGGCAGGAAGAAATGGAGATGGATTGGCCATACTCTGAGGAAACCACCAAGTGACATCACTAGACAAGCCCTCGAGTGGAACCCAACAGGAAAGCGGCGAGTTGGTCGTCAGTGGAAGGGTGACATGAAGGGGGTCATGTGAAGAGGAGATGAAAGCAGGTGGACAGACTTGGAGCCAGGTTAGAACGTTGGCAGAGAACCGAACGCAATGGAGATGCGCAGCCGAACTTCTATGTTCCTCAAGGAATTAAAGGAAGTAATAATAATACACACCAAGCATTTCATGGAATACTGATATTCCGTGAGTGAAAATTTTGCGAGTTATTTTCGCAAAATTCGAATGTCTAATGTTGTTGTTTTAAAGCCAACTTTATAAGTCAGTCTCCTTCTGGTTGGTCGGTTCAGGATTACTCGTTGTGCATGCAGTTTTTGTTCACTTTGTGCAAACTCCTCACCCAGACTGCTTCTTCAATAACCATAGGATTCAAATGTTGGTTATCAGGGATCTGATTGGTTACAAGATTTTATTATGAGCTGACATCGGTTAGAGAACTACTGGAAAACCTGGATAGCTGTTGCGTCCTGGCTCGGGACCCTTCATCAGTAAACAGTACGCAGTTCAGATAGGTAGTTACCTGGGTTCTAAGGGGAAGTCATGACAGGTCGGACAAATACTCGCCACCAATGATACTGGCTAGCGGTCACGCTATATCGTGAATTGACACAAGTTGAAATTCTTGAGCCATCATATCGGGTGCAAGTACCCCACTTCGATACAGGGATGTCCCGGGTTTGAATCCCAGTGTGTGTGTGTGTGTGTGTGCTGTAAAGAGTCCCAAACTAAGACGAAACAATTATCCCGTACTCTCTATTTTTCCGATGGTCCTCTAACGGACATCAGCTCATGATGAAATCCCGTAAACATAAGATTTTTATGAGTTTGTGAAATTTGTTTTTGGTACGTCGCCTACACATTTATTCGCTAATCTACTCAGCTCATTTTAATTATAAACGGATTTATTATAACGCAATCAAGTTAATTTCATACAGCTATTATAATTTTAGATTATTCGAAATTAGTCTAAATGGAACAGAATGAACGACAATCAGTCAGTTGAATAGTCGATCAATAAATGGACTAATTATTCTTTTATTTATCTGTCTACTCTACATGTTATTTGCTTACAACGCATGTATTTACATAAGAATAGGAGATTAGTTAGGCCATTTTTGATTAGTTGGTAGGTCGATCGAAAGGGCATCAAGTGAACAGTAATCAAAAAAGCGATATTATGTCTTGCTTTGTTTAATTTAGACGAAAATAAAAAAAAATTTGTCTGACACATGGAGTATGCTTGCGTCACAGTTTTCCGACAACCTGATCACATACACGCGTGCTTGTCATAGACATACAGACTTATAAAAGGTCAAAATATTTAAGGGTCAAGATCACAGGTAAGAGGCAGGCAAAAAGAATGGGGGTGAAGGCATTACTAAGCAAAATGAATCTTGGTTTTAAAGGCAGGTTGAAAGTAAAAAAAAAAAACAAATAATTATTATTTGCAACAATTAGTGAATCAGATTTCGGTCGTTTTTAATGACTAAGACTTCAACTAATTCTAAGTGTCTAACCCAAACTTGTTTTGTGTATATCAGATCACAGCATCAGAGAGATAGTATCATTTCCTAATTTGTTTAACAGTTTGCTAACTGTATTGATGGTTGCATCTTATGCTTAGCTAAGAAGAACCCATCGAATTCTGTAGGTTAGGGCCTACAGAATACAAGTTTAAACTGTTGCAAGAACAATTTCTTTTCCATTCCATTGTATCTCGAGTAGAACATAGGGTCCCAAGATTTGAATGCGGAGTCTGAATAGCTGCGGTGGGGGTTTTATGACATGAGGTTGGCAACCTAACGTCTCAGCTTCTCTTTTCACCGCGTTTACTACCGGTTTACCAGGACGTTGTTGGCCGGGGACTGAATCCAGATTAAGGGGGTAGTTGGCAAGCATTTTACCAATTAACCATCGACGCAGTCTGTGGAAACAAACCTGCATAAATCAACTCACTGTAGAAATATAATGTCTAAAGCCATCTGTCACAGACCACATCGTAGAGATGGTTCATAAAGCTGATTTCAGCAATGCCCGTAAACTTTATATATGTAATAATGTACCTGAAACATTCTGAATTGTATTTTTTATTTATATTTTTGATTACAGCTTGATTCCAAACCGTATTTTTGGTACAAGTATGAAATTTTCAGCATGTGATATTGGTAGCCCAAATTTTGCAGGCCGACCATAGATATCAGGTGTGCGTCGGCAGGGGGTCGAAACCCGGACCATGTGCATGGTCGGTGAGAGTCCTAACCGTTGTGCCACCGACGCAGTTCTGACCCTTTATATACATATGAATGAAAGGTACGCATGCATGTGTGTGTGTCCATGTGATCAGACTGTCCGAAATGTTTCATGGACAAATGCACATTACACATTTCAGATAAATTACGTCTTCTTTATTTCTTTTGTTGAGACTGATTTGAGTACTATTCACCTGACAAAAAGTTCATATCAAAATGACCATTTTATATACGATAAGCCTTAATTAAGGATTATAACCGGTATTCTTTCCATTTGTTCAGAGGGGAACAACAACAAACTGCTTTAGTGGCACAAGTCTCCATTCAGCTTGGTTATCTTCCATAACTTTCAACCGGCTACGCTACACTGTCCGCAAGCTCCTATATTCATTCGCCTTCTTGTCCGCACATGATCTACTCTATATCATCCTCGAACGCCAAATTTTTCGCTACCTATCCACGTTTCACTCGATGTCCTTGAAAATTTCTAGTTTTCATTTTTCTTACTGCTTGTTTGTTGGTTAGGCAACAGACTGTTGACTGGTGCAGTGTTCAGCCTGATAGGATTCCTTGTTGTCGGCCGCCACCTGATGCTTATAATCGAGGCAAATAAGGCGGCAGATGATGACAAATGTGAAGTAGGCGGCCTATTGAAAATGCTTTCGGTGATGGACACGTCAATTCTCTGAATTACACAGAAGCACTCAATGATTTTACACCTTATTATTAAGCTTTCTTTTCTATATAGTGATTCTTTTGTGGTGATTAACCTATTTATATTAACCTCAATTAAATTGCTTGCGAAACTGCAATTCATAAATGTTTCCCTTTGACTTAATCTACACACGGTAATAAAATAAAGCCAGATGGTAGATAGTTGTAAATAACCAGTTTATCTTTCCAGGTACACACACACACACAGAGTGAGTGGCGTGGAGAAAATATTCAGTTTAAGGAAATCCACTACTGTACGTAATTATAAATTGTATTCACATTGACCCAATTATATATTTATTATTTATTTTAAATCTATTTTACTTCGATATTTCAATGCACGATAAAAAGAAATATTCTGGATATGGCGTTCACATCCAGCCATCTGTAGTGATTTAAGTTGAAAGATTTGTAATGGGGGTGTGTGTGCCAGAGTAATGGGAGAGGCGAAGGGAATTTAATTTCAGAAAACGAACCATCTGGGGCAGTTAGACTTGAAAAATGTTTTTCCATAGTGACCTTAGCATAATTTCGAGTTCTTATGATGACTTTGTCCTAATACCACGGCAGTTTTAAACACCTAGCCTGACCCTTGCTCTCCGATCGATGATACTTGGTTAGATACGCATGTCACTAGAGAATATTGGCGCTATTAAGTCATTCACTATTGTTGGCAGACATACAAACAGAAAGATGCTTATACTTTTAGAGGCTTGTGCAACCAGGGTCTATAGACCCGATCTTTCTGTGCACAGAAGGAAATGATTCATTTGAATCGACCCTGGTGATATCCATTTACTCTGTCAATTGTTATCATAGCTATTTTATATTATTGCATCTCTTATTATTATTGTTATTATTATTCCTGTTTCGCATTTCTTAACATTTTCAAGTTCCAGTGTTAGGCGATTGGAGTTAATCGGTATGAGGCTATTAACCTGGGTCTCTTGCTTGCTAACACTTGTCAGCAAGGCGTATCTGAATTCTAGAAGAGAATGATACACCCACATCGAACATAATTTCAGAGCGTACCGACTGGCGATCACATTGAAAACTTGACTGGTAGTCAATTTGATGTACAACTTCTTGGTGAACAGATAGTGTACACAGTTAACGTTCCCAAGCTAAACATACGAACACAAACACTGTCACAAACGGCTTTTTAATATCTGACAATTGCGTGCCACTAGGTTACGCACGTTCCAGTCTCCAGGAGATTTTTACTATCAACTTTAGAATTGACCAAAGCCCAAGATAAAGAAGAGTAGTCACTTTTAGAAATGCAAGAGGGTTGTTATATATATGTATATATATATATATGTTTATATAAGGTTTATTCGATTAATCAACAGCGTAGGGCTGGGAACACTGGACCATTTGTCTATCAAGCAAATAGTGAGTGCTGCGTTAAAGGTCCTTTCGAGGTGGGAGGGGGCGGAAGTACTAGCACTTACTGAGATATAGGTAAACCCAGTTGAGAACTCCATCTTCAAATAGGACAAAACACACATGTCTCGCATTCATCTGCCCGCCACTGTTAACCAAATTTACATCAACTTGGCGCCAGAGAATTGTGAAAATTACCATACTAAGAACCCCTGTGTTAAAATAGATCAATCAGCATTTCATTCCCGTAAAATTCAAAGTAGATCCAAATTATAAACAACTGTTTGTGAGTTGGTGCTTCAAGTGTGGAATGCTTGTCAACCAAGCGCACGGCCTTGATTCGGTTCATGACTGACACTCACTCCTAGACCTAGATAACTGGTGATAAGCCAGGTGAAAAGGGAAGACTCAGCATGAAACTAAAAACCGTAACCAAAGCTCAAAGCTTGAAATCCTCGCTATCTATCGCTCCGAACGAAAAGGAATGAATATAAAATAAAGTAATTCTCATTCAAGAGGTGGATGGCTTTTGTGGCTCGGCATTAAAGGAACTGACGCCTGAAAAGGTGGATGCTGGGATTTGAGTCTAATTAAAGGAGACGCGAGCATTCGCTGGCATGTAGATACATCCAGCTGTCAAGAACCGAAATGGACGAGACACACACACGCACCCTAGATTTTAATGTCAGCATCCACCACTCATAGATGATAATGACGACTTATCAGTACATATCTCGAGTTTAAATTTAATATTCAGACTATTTATCATAGATGTATAGAAGATAATTGATTCATAGGTTTTTGGTTTAAACGCACACACACATACATACATTAACTTCCCATTTGGTTTCCAATTTTTTACATTCACTTCCGGTGAAATATGGTAGATTTATTTCTAGAATATTCTACTAATTTTCGTTCGCATCAGTAATGCCACACATTAATACAGGGAATTTAGAGATGTTGATTTATTTTTTCTACAAGTGATTATAATTTACTCAGTCAACTATTATGAATGTGTTTTTTCTCCCCATAACCGTGGTATGATTTATCTCCTAAGAGATGGAGAGAGGTATTCATAAAACTCTTTTCAACTTGATCTAATTTATATGATATTGCCTGGCAGTGGGATCCCGTATGCGTGGTATTCAGCTGTAGAGTAAAGCAGGAAAGCTGGATGTTGAGAGTTATAAATATAAGAAATCTAAGGTGAGTCCATTTTTCCACTTATCCGGGAAGTATCGCTTTAACTCAGATGTCATGGATGAAAAGGGCGAAACTAGACTGGCTAGGGGAAGAAAGACAAGCATTTGTTACTGTAGCGACCCACTTTACAATGCTTAATCCTAAGAACGAGACCTGAGTACTGCTTACCACTAATGTCAAGTCAGTCATTGCTAATAAATGGTTTAAAAAAAGACTCGATACGTGCCATCATCAACAGTGTTTTCAACACTCAAGTTCAAACTGCTATCAACAATTACCTACTCTTCTGCCTTGATACTGAAGATGACTTGGCCGACCAGAATGGATAAGGAACTAAAAAGGAACCTTTGCAACGAACTACCAAACAACCTACCGCGCATCAAATATAAGGACGGAAATAGATTTAGATGAAACGGACATATGAAGAAGAGACCTTCAAGTGAGATCACACATCATGTAAGCCATTGAATGGAATGTGAGGGGGCAGCAACGAGTTTGACGTGAGTCAGAGGGCAGCAGAGAGGGGACAATTTATGGAGAAACGAAAGCTTGTGAGCTATCAACAAATCAGCAGAAACTAGTGATAGAGAAGGGAATGGAATGAAGATGCGCTACTGAGTCCCTTGTACCCACTTGGGATGGAAGGGACACATAAAATATTGATAATAAGTATAAGAGGAAACATGAAAATTCAGTTTACATATAGAGATAATAAAGACAATACACTCATCGTTACAAATAAAAGCGAGTTTGACAAACTTACCATATTGACTGTTAACGCCAACATCCATAGCAACATTGATCAGTGTCTCTCCAAAATGTTCAGCAGGCAACTTTGCTGGAACTTTTAACCAGTAAGCCTTATTATCAGTGACCAAACTTTCTACCTTGCTTGCTAAACACAAAGAGGATTAAATTTAAATTTTTAAAAGCTGTATTAAAATCAAATCATTTTTAGAAGCGAACGAAAAAAATATTCGAAGGCAAAATAGATCGTAATGATTTACAAAATTCCAGACTCCTTTAGGTGTGTGTTCACTAACTTCACTACTGAGAAGTTAATAGAAGTTTAGATGGCGCTGAAAACTTTTGCATGCCGTATATAACTATACACATGTATAAGTATACACGAACAGTTGTTGTTAAACCACTTTGAAATCTACTATAGACCAACTTACAGAAGAGAAATATATATTCGTTGAATTTAGGACCTATAATTCATTTATTAAAATTCCTTTGCGGTTACAGTAGCTTCAGATTTCGAAGCTTTAGTGGCGGAACACGGCTGCTATGGTTCCCAATTTTTGGGCCTACTGTTAACCAGGCGAGATGTGGAGTGTATCAGCAGGGTATCGAATCCCGACCTCCCACTAGTGGCTGGTAAGTATTCTTCCACTGAAGGGGGGAGAAGAATTCGATTACGGGTATTATTAATAAGAAACTAATTAAACAAACAGCGCTCAAACCATTGTAAATGGAAAGCATGGTAGACCATAAAATAAGAAAGAAAGAGTACTTGAAGACTTTAAGAATTAAGGTTAAAATAGTCTCTGAATTGGAATTCCGCAAAGACTAGCTAATAGCTAAGAAAAGCGAGGAAATATTACAAGCGTTTCTAAAACACCAACGTTTAATTTACGAAACTATTTACAAAATTTTCCAAGGCCAGTCTTCTAAAGCTGAAAACTAAACCTTGTCAATGTAGAAAAGACACGTCTTAAGGCAAGCATCTTTCTACACGGAAATAACTAAATAACGAATAAACAGTTATTCCCCTGAAAATCCTACATAATTACTTACTTGCTGTGTGATCGACAAATTAAGTGGATGGAATTAGTGCAGTCTTGAAGCAGCAAGTCACTATGACAATAATTGAGATAACTATACAGATTTATATGTTAAATTTCACGAAAAATGAAAATCAAAATTGTGAAACCGAAATGACATCTTCTGACTCCAACAAACCACAATATTACAGTTTCAGTGAAAAACGAGTAGTAAATGAATACAGTTACAGTCAGTTATTATTGATTAGATTCTCTCACTGATATCTTGTTAGGCTAAGTGGTATGAATCATCCTGCACCGATAAATGGTAAAAATAAAGCTTAGTGAACCCTGCAGTAGAACTGGTCATTTTTCACACATTCAGGTTGTGTTATTTAGTCGGGCGCATGTATATGTTCTTATTTCAGAAAAATACTGTGTCAAAGATCACGCATGACGACCAGCCTGGAGTGAGACATGAAATGATGTTTACTTATTGAGTAACTCAACTCAACCCGTTTGTTTAGAGATGAAGAGACTGATTAATGGTGAGTATTTTAAAGTTGTCTGAAAAATAATCTGTTTCCTCTTCATTAACCTCTCTAATTTATATCATTAATAAAAACGATAATGCCCTCAAGAAAACAACTTCTGTGGACACTCCACAAAAATCAAACCTTAGACAGAGTTACAAATAGTAAAGATGATGTATAATTTATGCTTTAGCAAGCTTTGGTACGGTATTTTTTAGATCAAAAGGCACACTGCTTTTATCTGAGTTACCAAATTAAACTGGGTGCATCACAGGAACACTAATCATAAGAAGCATTAGGAATTTTTGGGCACCCATCTGGAGGCAGTAATTATTAGCCTGAATGTATTCGTTTCTGCAGTGACAGTAAAGTCATTACTAACTGGGGTGCCAAATTATAGACTATTAAATTTAACTACGTAATTTAGAAAATTATATTTCTCTGAGTAAACACTGAGTGTAATTACAAAAGCCTGCCGAAACAAACGTTTGTAAATAATTATTAGAAGCATAGTTGGACACAACTAACTAACTTTGCATAGGTTAAAACCTAGTACAAATGCCTGCAGCCATACTCAAAATACGTTAACAATTTTTGAAAAATACTGTATATGAATTATAAAAAACTTATCGAGTAATAAATACATCAATCGCTTTTATTTCAATATGGACTGACCGACATCCTCGATTTTTCTAGCTATTTTTGATAAATAATGAGGTCAGTAAAAATATATATAATTTACAAACACATGGGTTGATCCACAGCTCAATGGCTTCCATTATTTTCCTTGTTGCTTCATGTGTTGATTCGGCCTGCGAAACCAGAGCCAGAAACTCTTCGTCGAACTCTGTTTTTTCAGCTCTTCCTATTGCTTCATTTGTTTTCTACAATATCTGGAATATGACTTTGTGATAAACTGACCTGAAGAGCTCTATTCAACTTGGTGTTTGTGCTATCCAACAACTTTTTCATCGCTGCGAGAACAAGTGAAACGTGCAAGGGCGTTTTGAGAGCGATGCAAAGGTCTTCTTATATAGTCTGATTGATAAAAACAAAATTGGACCCTTAACATTGGGAAAGAATATCCGAATATTACCCATAGTGACAAAGCCCACCATGGTATTTCCTCCGATGTGTTTCTGAAAAGTAAGAGCAGGCTTGTCAGTATGTCTCTATTTTCACAACTGAGATTTCAGATTCAGATATATTGGTTGAGGATAGAAGGCTTGGGGCCTATGTTAATCCTTTTCTAGTAAATTTCTGTGGTTTTCCAAACCCTTCTTGAAAGAATCAGTTGAGGTTGCAGACACCGCTTCTTCTGGGAGTTAGTTCCAAGAGTTTATGACTCCGTGTGAGAACCAGTACTCAACAGCAATATGATTTCTTCTTGGCATTTAAAGTCTCCTTCTATGTGTCCTCTAGGGTGTTCCGAACTGGTGGGAAAGAAAAGAGAGAATAGGTCAGGTCCGTAGTCATTATTGAATATTTTGAACATTGTGATTAGATTTCCTCTCCGCGTACGGTATGGCAGAGAGAAGAGATTTAAACTGTCTAGTCTTTCCTCGTATGACAAGCTAGCTATGCCGTGAACCATACGTGTTGCCTTTCGAACCCCTTCTAGAATATGTGAGTCCCCTTTTAGACAAGGGCTAACGGCCTGAATGCAGTTTTCCAGTCTTGACCTCACCAGGGATCGATATAAGGAGGTAAGCATATCTTTGGTGATTCAAGGCTCTGCGAATCGCCCGTAAGGATCGAAAACTACATGCGGCCACAGCGTGACAGTGGGCTGTAGTCGTGGCTAACTATGACACCTAAGTCCAAATGAGTCTGAACTGATGGAAGCGTTATTTCCTCTAGTTCGTAGGAGCTGGTGCTTGCTTGTCTGATGTGCATGGTTGCATATTTTGCCACATTGATCGAGAGCATCCATTCTACGAACTAATCTGACAACTTGTTGAGGTCCTCTCGCAACGTGGATGCATCACTGCTACTCTTCAGTTCTCTCCAAATTTTTAAGTCATCTGCGTATAAGACCATAGGGTAGTCGGTGAGCAGAGGTAACTCATTGATATACAAAATGAATATTAGAGGTCCGAGTACCGTGCCTTGTGGCACTCCGCTCGTATTGCTGTCCAGGAGGAGAGTTTCGAGTTGATCCTAACCCTCTGCCTCCTATCTATGACGGATTCCCCGAGCCAGTTTATTAATCTGCCCTTGACACCGAGATTTTCCGACTTCATATGCCCCGGTACTTTACTTGATGATTTTTTCCAGTGTCTTGATCCAAGTGCTGGTGAGACCGATGGGCCAGTAATTTGAAAGGTTTTGTCTTGATCCTCCTTTGTGGATGGGGGTTACTATCGCGTCTTTCCAGTCACGCGGTAACACTCCATTTAGGAGAGATAGCCTGAAGATCGTGGTCAAAGGGCCGGTTATGTGGGCTGATAGGTCCTTGAGAGGCCTTGGATGAAGATTAACAGGACCCATTGATTTCTCTACATCTAGTTTCATTAGGCAGTTGAGCACGACGCCTTGGTCGATGTCATTGGAATCCATCCCGTATTCCTCTGATGAGGACAGAGCTGATCTTTTAGGGAGTGATGACTACTGGGTGAAGACTTGGGAGAAGTAGTCTGCCATTGCTTCTGCTTCTTCTTTATCTTCTTGGATTGTACCATTGTCAATAATCAGGTTTTGGACACCATTGGATGTTTTATTCGTGAAATTGATGTACGAGAAAATTTTCTTGGGTTGTGCCCTTGCATTCTGAGAAAGATGTGCTTCGAACTTCATCCGTGATTTGCGGATTTCTGAAATAGCTTTATTTCTAGCAGTGTTATACAATTCTCTGTTCTCGGAAGTCTAAAGTGTGGCAAACAGGTTCCAACATTTGTGCTTATGTCTGAGTAACTTACGAACGGGGGCGATGTTTTCGACCCTTTGGGACAGACCAAGGGATAAAAGGTTCAGTTACTTGGGCGTAAATTTGTCTAAATTGGTCTCATGCAGCTTCTACTTGGGACTCTGGGTTGATGTATTAGTTTACTGGGTTGGCTGCAGAGACGATCGCATTTATATGAGCTTTCCAAACGTTTGGTCGAGCTGGGGTTTTGGCCCTTGCTGCCGTTGGTGAGAACTTGAAAGTGAGTACAGAACGATCACTTCTTCCTAGAAAAGGAAAATGTTTTATGAGATCCACATCCTTATCGTGGGAGAACACTACGTCCAAAGTTGAGGAGGAGTGCTGTAAGTCATAGCGCGTGGGCTTGATGATATGTTGGACTAGGGCTGGTGGTATACTAGAATCCAACAGTTTATAATCAAAGGAGTTGACTGAAGATGGAGTTGTTAGGCTAGTCCAGTCAACTGTCAGGACATTGAAGCCACCGATTGTGAGACTTCGACATTTCAAAGTCCGGGAGCCTAGCTTCTCTGCTAGTAAGTCATCTGCACTGCACTCAGGACTGTGGTATACAGCAGTGAGGTCAATATCTTGGCTTACGCACTCACGTTTGCTTACTATCGTGGGCTAGTGCTTCGATGTTACGTACGGTTAAGCATTTCTTGAGGTAGATGACTACGCCAACTCCCTTGAGGTTTAGTCGGTCCTCTCTAAGCACTTTCAAGTTCGGCAGGTTAAATTGGTTATCAGTGACATCAGGTGCGAGCTATGTTTCTGTGATGATAATCACATTTGGATTTCCAGAGCCTATCATGTCAACCAGCTCAGTCCACTTGTTCGACAGGCTCTGAGGGTTTGTCAAGCAAATTGTAAATTCAGTTAAGTGCATCCGCGGCCTGTCCACAGAAGTATAAGTACATTCAGGTGAAAGATGTTCTGTTAGAGAACTCTGAGTTCTGTAAACTAAACCTCCTTTTGAAAGATATGCAAAGGCAAGTAAGTGAAATTCAGGAAAAATTAGATCAGTTTGATAGTATGTCACTGCCAATCTCAAATACCACGGAGAGCCATTCTGATATTGGCCAGGTTAAGTCTTTACTTGATGTAACTCAAAACAAGCTTTCGGATTTAGACCCAATAGCCTGTCTGTTAAAACAACATCCTAAAATATCTCCAGACAACCTAAATAAAGCTGAAAATCTGATTGACTGCTTGGCTACGGAGGTGATGAAGCGTATAACCTCTTCTCACCAAGCTATAGTTTACAACGTCCCAGATTCTCTGCCCCTGAAAACTGTAAGACACAAAATCCTGATTTGTTGCGGCATGGCTAGTGTTCCATGTGAATGCAAACGACTTCGTAAAAAGTCTAACCAGGCTAATTGCCCATCATTTTTAAATTCAGTAATTCCCTTGATGCTAGTAAGTTTACTAAATGTCAGGATCACTTAAGACTGAATAGCAGTTATAAGTCTATAACCGTAGCTCAGGATAAAACACCGTGTCAGCGCAGAATAATGCGTAGTAATAACCTGGTCACCTCCTCTAGCTTAGATTTACCAAAAAGGATCGTGCACAGCAACAGACACCTAGTGCTGAAACTAGCATTCAGCAAACTACACAACAACCACGCCTGCCAATGGAACTAGGAACTGATTTAGATACCAGTACCCCTGTAAATAAAGCCTCATCGAAAGATGTTAAAATGACTAGAACTTCTGCAAGTTGTTCTAAGAAATTTCCCCCCAAACGTAGTAACCTCACCACGATGAACAAATTTCGCAGGGTTGAGACTAATGATGGGGAAGAATACTTTGTATTCAATAAGCCTGCTGAGAGTAAGAATGCCAACAAACCATCACTTGTTACGAAAAACTCCTCTCGAAACATAAGTATTCTGGAGGTTTTCCGCATGCTCCACCTTATAGAAAGTCAGGCTCCAAGACTCCTAAAGTCTTGCAGCCAAAGCACCTTCCTTCACAATTCCCTTTAAGTTATAAAAACAACCCGAAGGTGTATACCGGTATGACGAATAGCAGTTGGATGGGTAGACCTTTGATGCTATGCCTTTTAACCGTCAACCTAGGCCCAACCTGTACTACCCTTATATCCAGGAACACATGGTAAATTTTCCAGGTGTCCCGAATCACTGGTACGACCCATGGCACCTAGGACCACCTCATTGCACTCCAACCCGATGTACAGACACCCAGTCCGACCTCCCTTTCATTCATAAATTCTTGCGGTGCTGACGCACAAATAGATTTAGGTTATGGTGACATTTTAAGCCAGTTTGTAGTATCCCGTGACTTATTCACGATATTGCTAATTAATGCACGTTCCTTAATCAATAAGATATCTGAACTAAGGACATTATTATTAGTCGCCAAGCCTACTGTAGCTCTGATTACTGAGTCATGGTGCTCATCCTCTGTACTTGATGTGCATATAGGTATCGATGATTACACTGTACACCGTGCAAACAGAGATTGCAAGCGTGGTGGAGGATGTCTCATATATATACATAGCTCATTTGTAGTCAGTAAGGTGGAAGATGAAACAATGAATAATGTACCTGACTCACTCTGGGTTGTCTTACATGGAGATAAGTACAAACTTCTCATAGGCTGTGTTTATCGAGCACCAAACGCAACAAAAGAAACTGATGCGTTATTAGCTAAATCGTTTGCACACGCATCCTCGTTTAGTGCTAATTACAAAATAATTGCAGGGGACTTCAATCTTCCAGAAGTCAATTGGCTAACTAGTTCCGGCCCCCAACGCTTCGACGAATTACTTGCCACTATCGACTGTTATGGATGGCAACAACACGTCCAGACACCTACTCGTGGTGACAACATTTTGGACCTTGTTTTTTGTCATGACACAATCCCAGTATCCACTATGTTGGTAATAGATTTTCCAGTAGTGACCATAGAATGGTACTCTGCTCTCTGCCTTTCTCACCACTAAATACAGGAAACAAACAAGATTCAGGAAGCACAATATGTCGTAGTTACAAATATACAGACTGGGGATTAGTCCAAGAACTTATTCGACTCTGTCA